TTGGTATTCAGGGTCTTACTACTAGATCAGACTCATAGTGATCCACCTGTTCACAGCCTCCCAAGAGCTGGGATTACAGGCACACACCACCATGCCCAGGTTCTTCAATTGCTGTCTCAGCGTGGGGCCGGCATGGTAGGCCCAGGGATCAAATCCCCGGTCCCCTCGCCTGCTTGAAGGCTCTTTAATCTGTTGAGCTATTTGGCCGACCCAGGGTTTTAACTTAAATTTTCTCATTATTTATGTATTTTTACTATTCTGGGAACTGAATCCAGGGCAATGAGCTACATCTCCAGGCTCCTCCCCCTTTTTAATGTTATTTGCTGTTTGGGAAGTATTGAAAAAATGAAGATTAAACTACACAGATTCAATTTTTCCCAGTATTTTAGGCAATATCAAAAGCGTTTCATAGGCATTCCCTCTTAATCTTCACAGCTATTTTATGAGATGAGGTAATTCCTAACCTGTTTATTGTTTTTTTTTTTTTTTTAAACAAAAAGGATGTTTAGGGCCAGCCGTATAGCTCAGTGGACTAAAGCACCTGCTTTGGTAAAGCACAGGGGCAAGGCTTCGATGATCCCCAGCATGCCGGCCCTGCCCCCGTGGTGTGCCGAGACAGTTGAAACTGGGTGTGGTGGCATGTGCCTGGGAGATACTTGGGAGGCTGAAAACAGGAGAATCACTCCGAATCTGATCTACGTCAGATTTACGTTACTCTGTAGACCCTGTACTAAATATATAAGAGAGAGAGAGACCTAGATAGATAGATGTTTAGAGGGGTAACTTACCTCAGGTTACAAAACTAATAGACGTGGGCCCGTCTGATCCTACAGCTGATAGTCTTCAGCCTTACCAATATACTGAATCACGAGGCATCTGTATTCCTAGTTTCACTGCCTAATTCTGCCACTTAATCTCACTTGAATGATCTACAGGTTCCAGAGCAGCGATGGTGAAATTAAATACTTGCAGTTAGCTGAGGAGCTGATTCGTCCTGAGAGAAACACATTGGTTGTGAGTTTTGCAGACCTGGAGCAATATAACCAGCAACTCTCCACCACCATTCAAGAAGAGTTCTATAGGTATGAGTGTTAATCTTTTTTACTCTGAGTAGGTGTGGAACCTGAGAAGCAATCTTTTCTTGGACTGCAAGTGTTCTCTTAATGGCCGAAGAGCGCAGCTGTCACGGTTTCCTTCCAAAGAGGGGCTCTTTGATACAGTTCACTGTCCTTTTGGTTCTGTTTGCATCTTAATCTAGTATAGTTTTTCCAATATGTCGGGTGTTTGTGTCATGTAATTCTTCTCAGCATGGAAATAGATGTTTTTAAGACATGTTTGAGTAGGTCCTGTTACTGTACCGGGGGTGTTTGTTTTGAGGTGGGGTGTTGCTGTGTTGCCCAGGCTGATCTTAGTCTTGAACTTTTGGGCTCAGATGATCCTCGTGTCTCTACCCACTGAATGACTGCACTTACAGGCCTGTACCACACCTACCTTAGGGAATATCCTTATACCAATGACATTTTTGCATCTGTTCCTTTAAAGCTTACATTTTTACTGATTATGATTATATGTGTATGTTTTAGAAAACAGAAGAGTAGAGAGAATCAAATCGTCTGTACACTTGTGAGCCCACCACTCATGGATACCTACCCCTGATTAGCAGGCCTCATGTAACAAAATTCTGGGAGCCTCTCAGGTCTGCAGCTCAGAGTAGTAAGGGTCTTGTTGCATTTTAATACCTTTCTGTGTGTATATAAGTGAGGTCATACTATAGATAGTACATCCTGCCCTTTTTTTACTTATAGTAAGTATAACATTTTTCTATGTATACAATTTTTGAAAACAATTTAATAGCTTAGTGAATGGGGGGGCTGGTTTTTTGTTTTGGTTGGTTTGGTTTTTTGTGTGGAACTGGGGGTTGAACTCAGGCCCTTGTGCTTGCCAGGCAAGCACTTATTCTACTGAGCTATCTCCTTGGCCCCTTAGTGGATTTTTTTGATAGAAATATTGAGTGATTATGTTATCTTTTTATTTTTTATTTATTTTTTTTTTTTTTTAAGGCAGGGTCTTGCTATGCAGTTCAGGGTGGCCTCAACTCACAGCAGTCTTCCTGTTTCAGCTTCCCAAGTGCTGGGATTACAGGTGTTCGCCACCACTCCTGGCCTATAGGTTCTCATTTTGGTTTATTTGTTTGGCATTGGGAATTGAACGCAGGACCTCCTGCTTGCCAGGCAAGCGCTGTGCCACTGCGTATATCCTTGGCTTTGTTTTTAATTATGAGAAATAGCATTGTATACAGACACTTGTCTGCATTTGGATTAGTTTTGTGGTTTGTTTGTTTGTTTGCAGTACAGGGGATCAAACTCAGGACCTTGCATTTGTCAGGCAGGTGCTTATGCCACCAACCTATCTCCTTAGCCCTTGCATTTGAAGTAAATAAATGAAAATTGGTCTA